CACCCCCCCCCCCACTGGAAAGGAAGGCACCTGTCCCTGGGGATCCTGTTTCCCCATCCTCCTCCTCCGGGTCTGCCTTTCTGTGGCCCTCCTGAAGGCACCCGAGGACCCTGGCAGGGATCCAAGAGGGCTCCAGGCAGCTTGGACCAACCTTGCCGCCCTCCCCTTTTCCAGGTTCCCTTCCAGAATGGCTCCTGGGGAGGTCCACATGGCCCATCCGCTCTGCCTCATCGAGAACCGCCCGGACGGGAGGCTAATCTTGCAAGAGGAGGCCCTGGCAGTTCTGCAGCGCATCCGGCAGCCGGTGGTGGTGGTGGCCATCGTGGGCCCTACAGGACTGGGAAGTCCTACCTCATGAACCGCCTGGCGGGCCAGCGGAAGGGTGAGCGGAAGGAGCAAGGGCACGACCCAGGCTCAGGCCCAGGTGCCGCCCTGGAAGGGGCCATGGCCTCCAATACGCTGGAGCCGTGCCTTGGGGCAGATCCCAGCCTCACTGGCCGTGGTGTCCCCTCCATTCCAGGCTTCTCCCTGGGGTCCACGGTGCAGGCCAACACCAAGGGCATCTGGATGTGGTGCCACCCTCACCCCCACCGGAGTGACCGCACCTTGGTTCTGCTGGACACGGAGGGACTGGAGGACACGGGGAAGGTGAGTCATGGGGGGAGCGGGTGAAGGGAGGGCTGGGAGTGGGGCCAGGCAGTTCCACCCCAAGCCTGCCACATGGGTCTGCTTCATGGTGAGAGCCGTGACCACTCTGTGTGTTTGGGTGGCCATGGCACAGAATGGCAGCAGAAGGCTCTTGCCAAGCCAAACCTTCCAAAGGCGGGCTGTGACATGTGCCCCCCCCCCTTCAATAGCAATGAATGAGGCAGAGGGAGGGTCCCCTACAGTGTGGGGAGGGGGCTCAGGGAGACTTGCTTCTTCTCTTCCAGGGCAACACGCAGAACGACGCCTGGATCTTTGCGCTGGCCATCCTGCTGAGCACCACCTTGGTCTACAACAGCAAGGGCACCATTGACCAGAACGCCCTGGATCAGCTCCAGTATCCTTCCCTTGGGGGCAAATTGGGGGGGTGGTGGTGGTGGAAGCATATGAAGGGAGTGACACCCAGTTCGCTTTGGGATCCTGGCTGGGAGGGGTGCCCGTTGGTCATTGGACAGGGGGGTTTGGCACAGGAGAGATGCCCTGGGGACACATCCAGGGGAGGATCGGGGGCATTGGGGCCTCTTCCATGAACAAGGAGTGAAAGCGAGACGTCAGCAAGAGTTAAGACTGCCTGGAAAGACAGACCCTTCCTACACAACCAGGCCCATAGCTGTGGTGCAGTCAGGAAATACAGGCTACTGTGTTTCACTGCATCATAGTCACACCCCCCCCCATTTTTTAATCAAAGAAGAGGGTGCACTATAACATTATGGAAAAAAATACTTTGTCTACCTACCTACTTATCTATCTATTTACACACGTTGCTTCCAAAGGGGGAGAGGGGAGAATACAGCCTCAAACAACCAGTTTATAAACTATAAATGGGGGTCTCTGGAGC